AAAAAAAAAGACGAGAAAGAACGGATAGGCCTATTAGTTACCTTGATTTAACCCAAGGTATAGATGGTAAATTTGACTGCCATGAATTCTCTTTATATAGCACTGAATAAGTGATCCCCTTGGACCCGGCTGCGATAAGAATCACAAATGTTAGCCGAAAATCAAGAATTTTTAAGAGTGTTACTTGCTACGAACGGATAAACAATCTACTATAAGCCATATAACAGGGATCTTGAACCTGTTTCAGGGAGATGGGGAACGTCAACTTGCCCGAAACTTGAGGAACTTTAACAATCTCCTTCATGATTTCTCGCCAGTTCCTACAAACACCGGCGCAAGCAACTACGTTCTTCCTACAAGGCCAAATTTCTTCGGATTCCTCTATCCTCCTCAAGACATCCCTCAGGAGCTCCGGCGGCATATTGGCCCAACAGCTCTGCTTGAAAGCATCAACTGACACCGAACAATCCTGAACCACGCGATGAGACCTTGATCTCATCCCATACCCGAATCCCTTTCTAGACATACTTCCCAGCTCTTCCCTCATGTCCTGAATAAGACTCTTCAACGGCATGGCTTTTACTCTTATACGAACAGAGAGGCCAGAGATTTTCGGTGGCTCGTATAATTCAAAGTTTTCCACTTTTCCAATACACTAATAATAACCCATAAGCACCGAAAATCACATAACTGCCAAAGAGATTCGAGTTACTAAGCGCCGAAAACCAAGAGATCTGTTCCCTGCACTTATCATCCACCACAATCGCTCGACAAAATGGTTCTCCCTTTCAGATCAAGAATAGCAACAAGGCCACTGGCAGAGATCCGTCAAGACAATTTCCGACAACCCAGGATCCGACAGGATAATGACCCCCAAACGAACGAATTTTAACACCTGAAACCCGTACGGGTACCCATCAACTTCGAAGGCACTAACTAAAGTCGTCCTAGATTCACACCCATAGCCTTCAGAACGAAAAACGAGATACTACACAGACAGAACATCAAAACAACAGACCGGGTAGATCTCGGATGACGCATCTGTGTTCCAATACCCGGCATTGATGCAGATAACACCCGAAAGTTGAGGATTTTGAAGGTATGAGAGCGAGGAATTGTCGAGAAATTTAGGGTTTGGTGTTGTATGAGAGACGGAATAGGGACGAGTGGTGTGTGAGAACTGAGAGAGTGTGGATGTGGCTGTGCGTTATCCAATTCCTCCGTCACGTTGGGTTCATTTTAATATTTAATAACGTAAATTTGAAATTATTTTTTAACTACGCAGTGATAATGATTAAGCGAAGTAAGAGTGGGTGGGAGTTTTTAACTTTTAACCGTATCTATCTATAGATTATGCATCAACTTTTAACTTTTTTTTCACTATTTATTACTTCAACCCAAAACTGTTACACCATATTATCTCTCTGCAACATATAGCGATTTTGGTAATTTCCTTTTTTTT